TTTTTGTAAGATTGGACAACCTAAAATGTACCGAAGAAATTTCGAATGAGAAATTGAAACTTGAATGGGTAAAATATTTTCATACATTTGTTTCATTTATGGTCGTCTCTCTGACTTTTACATCTTCGTTATTTCAGATGATCGTCTTTTTTGATCTTTTCAAATTTCCCGCACAATTTCTCAATGGCATATAGACACCGCGGATCGTGCATTAACGGCGATATGAAGGTTGTTAACAGACAGCGGTGACCAATTTCTCGCGGGTCACAAAGTAAATGTAATCGGCGTGGCTCCCGCAGCGGCGTTACGTGACAACATAATCGTTCTACAGCCGGGCTGAATATTTCATTAGAGGCTGATGGAGGCGTCACGCTTTGCAATCGGTTTTACCCGTTCGATATCTCGAATCGTGCATCTCTGCGATTACCGCGACGCGCGCCAAACAGCGTTCTCGTTTTCGAGCGACGATTCTCGCGACACTAGGCGCTACCGCGAAATTCACGCGTGTGAATCCACCAACGTAATTTCCACATCTGGCAACGTAATTTCTACCGTCTAATTGGTATTAGAACAATTGTGTATGCGGATATTTACTGCGTTTGTGAGAAATCGGGAACCGCGAAAGTGCACGGAATCACTGCTCGATTCTACATATTTAGATTTAGCGTTCGACGAAAATTTCAAAGTAATTCGCCAACTTTGTGTTACGTCTCTTCAAGAACAATTTGGAGTCGATTCTAAACGTCTAACAAAATTTCCTACAACTTTTGCTCGTATTAAAGATACTTTGAAGATAGGATATCTTTCATAATTTGAGTCGTGCAAGCGAAAGAGAATCTGTCTCCCTTTGAGTTGTATACACAGCATACAAAATCAAGTATTTTACAGAATGAAACTGGGAGCTTGAAAGTGCAACATTAATAAATGTCTCGAGTGGCTGGGATTACGCACATTTTATTTCGACATTGTGATAGAGCTTTATTATTATTAACCTCTTCAACTCGTAAAAGAGAAACGGCGCTAACAAATGTGAAATATTAACTGATTAAAATTAATTGATCATACACAGTCGCGTCGACACACGGGTACAGTTCATTTAAAGCTTTTAATATCAGCTGTCATAAATTTTGTTGTTTCTCCTGCAATTTTACGATCTTCATTTAATACACACAATATCGCATCGTATAAGGTAAATCGATATTTCATTGTTTTTATGGTAGCTACAAATAGAGATTCGAGCGTGCAGAGATATAATAAATATTAATTGCAATTAAAATTACGGATCGTTCGTTTCTCCACGTCGCGTGTGCGCCGTTTATTTTTATTTTATTAGTCTCTTCTACTTTTTAACAGCACGTAACAGATAATATCAGATAATTTCAGTCAATTTATTTAATGCTACGTCGGTACGTCAATTTATTCGCGGTTATGTTTTGTGTCTGTTTGGATTCTGATTTTATTAGAAAACAAATGAAAACTGCGAGATTTAACAGAACCTGTATCTATCGCAGCAACAATTAAATACACAAAGAGAATTCATTTCCTAATCGATTACCTTATTTAAGTGAACCGTGCAATTAATAGCCGATTAGTTAGACGGAGAGATTGACACTCGTGAATTTTATGCGACAAGGTTTGCTTGCGACACATTACGCCTCGGAGATTTTTCCGATAAGATTCAGCGATTAAATCAATTCCACGAAACAGCCGCGCGCGACATTATTTAAAAATCAACGTATGTCCCGAGCTTCTGTTAGTTTCGTGACGAGGAACTAAGAACGTCAGCTATTCGACACGCGAGAATGCATTTTTTAACAGCCTTCGACCATGTTGTCGTTCTGTGCCAGCGAATTACTATTCCACTCGTTGCTTACAAATATTCGTATAATTCAAGTAATCTGATAAAACTCTGGAGGAACGCGTAAAATGGCAATGCGTATGACAAAGCGGATGCGTGAACCTGCGGAAATGGGAATCATTCAGGCGAATCGATCGGCGCCGAGCCGAGGGATTAAATTAATTTAAGTAATTTGACGATTGCTATCGGCGGAAACATTAAATAAAGTACCACGTCCCACGCTTGTATAGGTAGCCGCGTTTAGATTATAGATCGTCGAGTAAACCGACGTTGGTTACAACACATCAACAGGATTGTGGCCATCGTTGCATAACTGAGTGGTCGTTCATGATGATTGGATAGTCATGTTAGCCGTCCTTATTCCATTCAGTTCACTTGTCATTAAAGGGGGTGGGAGAGAGAAAAAAAGAAAAAGGCGGACGCCACACGCGGACGGAAGTTAACCATCGTTCCTCGATTTTTAGACAATGGTTGTAGTGGTTAACCCTCTCGAACGATGGAAAGATAAATGAATGATAAATCTTGTTGCACGTTCGAATGTCGAAGAGAATAATTTTATATCACACACACGTGGTAGCTTATGAAGATATTCGATCACTTTTTTTTTATAAATATATAGCTGCCACGTGCTACTAAACTAAAATGCGCGATCGATTCTGTTTTAGGAGCGAGAAGCTGAAAAGATAGCAGAGGAGGCAGCAGCTATGCGTGACGTTAAACCGGAACTTCAACCCGCAAGAAGTCCTGACACCTGGCAAGGCAATAACTTTTACCGGCATCTTAACGTAATAAAAGGTAACGCGATGATTTTCAATTATACAACTTTCCCAATCTGCAACGTATGTTCCGTAAGAGAAAGTCTGTACGAAAGTCGTACAATTTGAATTCTGAATTGGAAACGTCCACGACGTCTTCTCAGAAGTTATTATCATTTACACCTATCGAGGCTATTTCTAATCAGCTGTACGAGTCAAGTACGGTAACGAAATCACTCACAATGGGTCACTAACTATGGTCATTTGGAGAACATTCTGGGAAATAATTACCCATTCGGCAACTAAGTAACACAGAAATGGTAAACGTCGCTTTGATAAACAGGTTTAATCTGTTCAGTATTTTGGACCGTGCTATTATTAGCAATTAGTAATTAGCGCGGCACGAGTGGTCCATGGGAAGATCGGGAGTTTCAATTAATTAGAGTAATTAGTCGCGACCGGAGTGTTAACTGAGAATGGAGGGTTGCCTCCGATATCAGACGCGGAGGTGGATCTTGGAGTTGGTAATAACGCGAAAAGGGGTTGAGGGTGAACTCCTCTCTCGACGAGGAGGCGTGATTTCCGATGACGCTTGCGCACTTCCGCTCCTCCGGTTCAAGTATGGCACGAGTACGATCGAGTTTAACTTTTCCTTCCCCCTCGAAACATATTTCTTTCCCGATTTTACGGGAGTTTCTAAATACAGCGGAATCCCCTGCGTTCGTTTGTTGCAACAACGACCTGACCTGGCACAAAAATGCACTACTGACGCGCAACGAAATTTGTAGTACGAAACTTATACGAAATGTCGGAAACACAAGTTTTCGTTTATATATTTTATCAAAGAATTAGATGTAAATTATGGGAATTAATTTTAAAATATATCTATTTCAGATTTTCTAAAGTACATCTATTCCTTTACAGTGATTCGATACTAACGTGTAAATACAGAAAAATCTGAACGTACAGGCACAATCAATGAAAACTGTGTGCGCATTGCGTACACGTTTACTTATACGAATGCACGTAATGCTTCAGTCGGAACGGGAATCAAGCCATCGGCATTGAAAACAGCCATAAGCCGAAAATAACAAGATAATCGATGTACCTTATTTGCGAATGCAAACATGACATCGTCGATAATGAACGAAAATACTTTGACTAACGTAGACTTCCTAGCGAAAAAGGCGTCTCTCCGTTATATCGATTTCCTATAAATTTTTTTTTTAAACATTCACATCGAATTTATATCGAAATAATCGGACTTTTACTTTAAGATCTAGCAGGAAGATTCTAACACGACAATTTAATTCGGTAAGAAGCACCGACTGACAATACCATCTCTAATTTGCCAAAAGTTGCAATCATTCTTCTCGATTGTATTAAATTTTTTATAGACAAGAAAAAAAAAAGAAAAAGGAAGAAGAAATACCAATCAATATCACGGAACCGATCGAAACAGCTCACCTTTAATCGCGCGCACCGTGCTCGACTAACTTTTCAATTTCGCCGGGCACCATCCGCGCGGTTCATTACTCATTCAATTTAAATGAATAAATGAAACGGTTTTTCGATTTTGTTTGTTTCCTTTGATTTGACCCTGCACACCGAGCGGAATTTTGTTAATTTTCAACAATGATGATTGCAGGAACCGAGCCGACCGAGAGAACGGGCACGGATTGTTCCGCTTGCCATCCGCGAGGAATATTTTACAGCCAGATTCATAGCCCGTCTGCACCCACTAATTAATCGACACGAGATGCAGTAGCAGCTGAAAGAGGATAGATGGAAAGAGGTGGAGGGAAGTGAGGGCTGAAAGACAAAGAGGGAGAAACGACGGGAAGAAAAAGAAGAAAAGAGAGGGGTGGGGGGGGAGAACGAGGTAGAGAGTAATTCAAAAAGACACTGTAAATTAGGGGTCTCCGTCGGCATTCAGTTTCGGATTCAGTGAATTTCAATTAGTTTAAAGCGCATTGATCTCTCTCTGGCTCTTCTTTTATTTTATTCTTTCTCCTTTTTTTCTTTTTGATTCTTCTGGGCTAGGAAATTTCTGCCGTATAATTTATATAATTTATATAATTTATATAATTTAACAATTTGTGCAACATTCATACTGTTACTTGATAATTATCGCACGAAGAAGCTAAAGCTAATGGAAACCCCTGTTTTAATTGTTTTAATTTGCAACCCCTCGATTTTTCCATCGACGCGATCTTCCACGCGATCGAGACGTTCGATTTTCGTCGCGAGACGTAGCAATGAAAACTAGTCTTAATCGAGTAATGTGGATAAAATGTTACGTATTTTTTATTATTCAGCGAACTCTCGAAACGGCACGAAGATACGAAAAGAAAATGAAGAAAAAAAAAAAGGAGAGACGTCGATCGTTGTTCTCGTTCTTACGCTCATAATTAATTTTGTAGATTAATTACGCCCGCACTGGAAACACTATTATAAATATTCATGTAACTAATTTCCACGGTATACATATACATATATACATAAAGAATTTCGCTCAAAACTTGTATATCTAGAAAGATATTTTATTTTCGATTCTTCGTATAGCGAATCTCCATATAACCATCCAAAGTTTTATGCACATAGAGAATCGATCGTATTGCAACACCCTTTGCAATGAAATTTGAGAATGATTTAACTGTACGTACGCGTGTAAATGAGAGAGATCCAGTTAGTCACGAATTTCCAATACGATGATAGAGAATGGATAATAGAAATTATGCTATCCCAAGAATTAGTATGAACGATTTCCTCAAAATTAAATTGCAGGAAAATCAATAAAAACTATACTTTAGGCACGGAATTAATTCATATCTAATCTATTCACAACATGAAACTGAAGTGTTTCTTGTCGTAGAACGAGAGACACAACTTGATCTCGCGAATAAGCTCCAGAGTTAAGTATGGTATATCATACCCACGCACATGCGAATGTGCATTCGAGGATTTCTTTATATTGTAATAATTACTCTATTTAGTACACAGAGAAGCTAACGCAGCTTGAAATTGGCTTCTCAGCGCGAGTCGATATGCTGTGCAATATACTCTTTACGGTTATTAGCCTCTCGAGTGAATGGCTGCGATCGCTTCACCGATATACATAGATCGTGAAAATATCTAAGGAGCGGGTGTTTCTGCAGATACATACGAAAATACCGACAGATTCTCTTCGTCGTTGCTTTTCAAACCGAAGATCGCAGGGATAAAACATAATAAGTTACATTTTTCGCGTTTTCGAATTTCCCTTTTCAGATTAAACACATGTCATTGTAGATACAGTCGAACCTTGAAAATTTAACTAACTCCCGACAACTTTCGAGGTCTTCGACTCGTATATTATTCGTAAGTATATATATATATATTAACTATCGAATGTAATAAATGCCCGCGATCATTATGTTCATTGTTAATTCAAATTTTTCATAATACGACTTGACTGAGTAACTAGAAGAACAAAAATGAGTGCGACTTACCATTAGATGCAAAGAACGTTGTCATCGATGTAATTGTGACCCAGAGAGTGAAACCTCACATTAAATAAAAATCGTCGAATCCCACGGAAGAACTGAAGGCTGAAGAAATCTGTAAAAAAAGCAGTGTCAATTAATAGAAATTTGAAACAATAAAAAATTAATGTCTGTTTAACAAAATTTTAATGACAAAACGATACGCAGCAGGGAACTACATGTATCTTCATGGAGGGCTACAATATTCATCATTAATCGTTCTTTTTAATTTTATGGCACCTCCTAACATTTCAAAGTTTCCCTTGCTCCTAAATTCAAAAGAAAATTGAAACTTTTTTACACAATTGAAACGTTTTTTTACATATTGAAAAATATGTAAAAAAACACAAATTATGCAAAAACAAGCAACAGATAAAATTAATATAACAAAATATAACAATCAATAAGATTATTAAGTGAAAACGTACGTTAATTAACATCAGGATGGATATGCGTGCCAAGATGATGACAATGGAAGAAGTATTGCCCAGTTGGGTCAACAATTGACAATAGAATAACTCTTACACAACAAATTCACACCACGAATTTCATGAAATGAGGGCAGCAACATACACCAATGGAAACAAGATGTCCAAGAATGTCCTACAATATAAAGTATACATTAATATATGGAATTAATTAAAGTGATGAATACAGAATATAATTAAAGACAATGCAACATGTATCACGTAAACAATTACGCATATTTATATATATTTATATATTTATTTATATGTAAATATATATTAATTTCTAACCTGCAATTAGTAATTGAATCGAACTGCATGCAATTATAACTCTTTCAAGTAATGCTGCTTTAAATTGTAGGCATATTTAACAATGCAAAAAACAAGATTAATGGTCGTTGATTATAATTTTTACCTGATAATTGCTAGATCTTCTTCTCTAGCTCCTTCTTCCTCCTTCTTCCTTCGTTTCGCGCCTAAAACTGACTACGTAAAGTCAATACGATAGATCGATCACAAGATCAAGATTATATCGATTATAATTGCACACTTCGCCGTTTCATTGGCGCTGTGATCTTTGCCCAAATACGCGCGTATTTCGTACGAAGATAAATTCATCTAGTGTGAAATAAAAAATAAAGAAGAACTCCCGTCTCTGATTCTTCTCGTCTATTAAATAAGTCAATTGATTTAACAAAATGATTGCAATTTTATTGTTTAAACTCTGAAACTGAGTTCAACTAAAGTTCGACTTGCTTAAAAGTAAATTTATCATGTTTATCCCACGTGATCTTCAACTATGAATTCACGTAGGAAATTAATTATAGATGAAATATTCTAGTCAATGAGGAGAATCTGCATTGTGACGTCGTATCGTGAGATACGGCATTCGATGAAAGTAATATCTACTGCTTTTTATCTCGTAGATTACCGGTGTATATGTATATATGCAATCCAGCTGTAAAGAATGCCGTGATAGATGGTACGAAACGCATTGTTGGTAAAGTAACAAGTGTAGGCGGCAGCATGTGGAAACACTATGTGTAATCCGAGTAACAATAAAAATTCTGATCACTGGTGTACATTGATGTTGCTTTTCTTCATTTATTTACTTGTTTTCTTTCATTCCTGATTTGTGAAATTGCAGAACAAGAGCAAACTACCACTGGAACCTGGAAATAACATACAACAAAATTAAATGAAATTGCAAAACAGAAAATGGAAAATAGAAAGCAATCGCGAATGCAAAGTTGCGTTAGATTGGTAAGGAGGAAACAAATCTTTTTCAATTACTGGAGAAACTGGTGTATAGTAGAATGCACCGTGTAATCTTGGTCGTTGGATGTATCCCGGCTGTGAAATCCTCGGGGAACACTCCCGCCTACTACGCGAGAACGCTCCAATGAGCAGAAACCCTTAACGGATACAGTTCGTAGTCCCTGGACGATCGTCAGCAAAATTTCAGATTTCGACCACATATGGTACTCACGATGCTATTCTCTGCCGGCAAAAGAAATAAGAAGGACTCGATCGTCCTTTCATACAATATACGCGAGCATACATATGGAAAGAAGCTTTTCTCAAGCTCACTTTTATGCGAGTAATTAAAAAAGTACGATTAATCGCTTGAATTTTTGAATTTAATTAATTCCATGCTCGTATTTCACTATTATTCATATTTCGTGTAATGAATACGAAGATACTTGTATTTTTGTATTAATCCGAAATATTTAAATCGTTTTAATTCCATTTTAATTAAATACGCTTTCAAAAGAATCAACGTTCCCGGCTTGTAAAAACATCACGCATACAATTTATGATATTAAAATAAATTAAATAGGAAATGCGAAATTTAAAATGTATACAAATTACGTGCGAAAACACAGTTTATAGCCTGATCATCGTCATTCCAGTAAGGGACAGAATACTGTTTGATGATTCAGCTCCTTTTTTACACGTAATAATAGATTGTAATACGTTCTACCGAACATCCCGTGTCCGTAAATGAAACAATCCCTTACCTATTACAAATACTTCCGGTTTCGGAGTCTAGATGACCCTTTATGGTAGTACGTCAGTATGTATTGTCGGAACGTGAGGTAGTTGCGGGAGAAGGCGCGAGAAAAGACACTCGTACTTGTAGATTCCTCCCGAGAGGCAATGGTGTCTCCGTTCGCGAAGCCAATTTGCCGGAACATTAGCCGCAGACGGTGTTTCTTCAACGATGCCTATTATTGATATTGCCTGTTCGCGATCGACTATAATCGATAGAGGCACTTCACGAGATTCGAATGGCTTCCTCTCCAACAATAAGGGTAATACTCGTTGGTTATCAATTAATGGTCTATATTTGATAAAATAAATTTTTCTTAAAGACTTACACGAGCTCAAAATATTAAAAACTTTCGTTATTATCTTGAAAACTTCTTCTATCGTGCTGTTGCTCTTCACGCACGTATCTCCTCAGATATACATATTCTTTGCAAATTCTGAAAAAGTTCATTCAGTGCTAAAGTATGAAATAGATATACACAAAAGTATAACAACTATTTTTTGTCATTTCATTATAAAAAAAAACGCATATCGTATCACATCACGAACGTTTTATCGTGATAAAAAAAAACTTTTAAATCACCGAATATATTAGGAAAGAGAATAGAGAAATATTTTTAACTATAGCCCTCGTGCAGAGGCAAAAAACGTATTGAGAGCCAGTATAACGAGCAAGGATTTAAACACAACTTTCAGTCGTCTACAATAAAGTCGACAAGCTGGGTATTTAAAGAAACATTTTAATTGCAGGAGATAAGCCGCTTACGTACCCCCTCTCTCGTGCATTAATAAAAACGACCCTCCTGTTACGAGATGCGAACGAGCAACGGGTATTGTATCTGCGAGAAAGTAATTCGACTTTTCGTTCGAAGAAAAACGTCCTCCACCCCAATGAAAAGCGAACAAATATTTCTTTAAATTCAAAAAGGAGGAACAATGAATGAAATACAAGGGGATGTGACGTCGAAGTACTAAATTAAATGGGAATTCTCCATGAGATTAAATTATATTTATTTTTAAGAAATATCTGGATTCTGATAAAAATTCTTTACAAGTTTCAACGAAAACTTCGTACGAAATATTATAATCTAAAAAAAAAAAAATCCAAATAGACAAAGTACCTACCTATCATTTCACACAGGAGTTAAATACTTTAAAATATCCAGGGATCAATCTCGAGATTTTTCAGCTAGCTAAACACTGATGAAAAAAATTCCGCGACCATAACAAGAAACTGGCTCTGTAATTGGGCATGAAAAAGTTTTTTTTTAACTTCAAAAAAAAAGCTAAGTTTGCAGTAACCATGTAATAACGTGAGTCGGTAGAACGCGAATAGAGGCTCGATCTTGCGGCGCGAACCAGCATGTGGAAGCCACGTGGAGAGGATGCTTTATGAGGGTTCTTTTTAAGTTGATGGTATGCCTTGTTACCGGGAAGAACCGTGCTCCCTCGGGTAATATCGTATACAATTATGTCCACCGAAGGGCAGACATGCATTATGGATGCAGCTTTTATACCCGGTAAATCATGTCGCAGGCTTGGTTAACTCTGCAAATGATCTGCAGAATCACGCCTAGAAACATATTCTCAACGATAAGCAAGCCTCCTTCCCCTTTACGACTGACACTTTTCTTCTTCTCGACCTGAAATATGAATGAAATGAAATAGAACGAAATTAGGAATGATAGAATAAAGTATAAAGAAATATGAAATAATAGAATAAAGTAAGAGAAATATGAAAAATTAACAACCTGAGAAATCATTGAAAACCAAAGGTAGCATGACATAGAGCACACTTTATTTCTTAATTAGTGATAATAATTATTTAGCATTGATCGAAATCGAGTACATGTCATATATTCTTCTTCGACCGGAGTTCAATAATCATAATAGATTAATTTATTAATATAAGTGTAATTAATTGTAATGTATTGTCTGAAAGTATCACTGTGTTGCATCCACTGGTCGTCTCTTTGCACTTTGTCAAGAATAATCGAACGAATCAACTAAAAAAAGAAAAACAGAAATGAGATCAAAGATTCAAACCACAAAAACAAAAACAAAAGAAGATATCTGCCCTTCCTTTCGTATTTCTCGATGAATTCCAAATATTCTGATGCTTACAAAATATAAGTGGACCAGAATCACGAGAAATTCGAAAGAAAGAGAGTAGAGCCTCACGTTGTAGAAAAACGAAAGAAATCTAAGCTATATAAGGCAGAAGGAAATAAAATTAACGTCTACAATTCGACTCTTCCAGACCAAGGATGCTCAGTGACTGCGGGGAGCGATAGATTCGACGTCTGCCCGACCCCGAAATAGTTAGATTACAATTAAAATGCGGAGAGCTTGTCGTTTCGAACGGAATTCATAGGTACGTTCGAAAACGTAACTTAATCTCTATGTGTAATACACTACTTACAACATTCGGTTGTTCGAAAAATTCGTAGCGTTTCTATTATGAATTTCCACCAGATAATGAAACGTTCCGAAAAATACCACCCCTAGTTAGATACTAAAGAAAATCAAGAAAAGTGGAATGTTCATCTCTGTCTTATTCGTGGAATATATTAGTTTCGTTATTTATTGTGCCCTTTATAAAATTTATTCGAAAGACATAGGCAAGAAATGAAATACTGTACAGAAACCTTGAAGGAACTCATCACCAAGAAAATACAAAAAATTTCTCCAAAAAAAAAAGACTCGGAAATTATAAACAATCCTAACTCTAATTAAATCTCACTTAACTTTTGCTACGAATTTTCAGAATAACCTGATAGTAAGCTCACCTACGTACAATACAAACATATTTCTATAAGAAATATAATCTAGCAAACATATGCGTACATATGTATGTATAAAAAGCCTATCCGGCGGCATTAAAAAAAGTAGAAAAAGAAAAACAGGAATAACAACGATTATTAGATTGCGGATATTTACGCAAACAACTAAAGTGAAACAAAGTAAAGATTTGTTTCGCTACATCTGAATATTTTATATAATTTCGCGCCTATGAATTTCTACAACTTATAACTGCATAAATATTCGCAATCTACGTAAAATGATTAAAGTAATTCTCTAAAATATACGATTGCAGATTAAATTAATTCTTCAAAATGGACGATCGCAGATTTGAAAGTTCGAGCATTCTATCGTTCGAAAAAGGAGGCAAGCCCTCCGCAGAACAATATTCAACATTTAACAATAGCCAACATTTATAGAGTAAGATACCGATTTGTTTTTTTTTTTTGTTTTAATTATTCATAAATCGTTTCATCTCGTTCTCCTATTTTCCTCCACGATCGTCGATCGTATTATAATTCCCAGTTGACAGAGATTGCTGTTACAGGTCCGCGAGGGGCAACAATAATTATCACGCAACGAGAATCAGTCCCTCATGATACTCTTTTATAAACGTACGTACCAGCGCAGTGTTTCTCAAACCGCAAAAAGATAACATTGGTGATATGTCTCTCGTTCCAGGAGGATACTTATATTGCTATCGTTTGCAAGTGGACGCAAGTTACAGGACTCCCAACCTTCTCAAACACGATATTATATAACAATATATTTCTCAACGATTCTCGACAACGCTTGGAGGATGAAACTCACGCCTCACTAATTCTCGTATTTTTATTAATTGACGAAATCCTCTAGCAGCGGCTAACGCTCGAAAGAACGTAAGGCTATCACAACCTGTGGTTTCGTAGCTATCAGTTGTTACATTTTCAACAATTACAATTACGAAAACATCCTCTGTATGGCACCTAGTCGCTACAATTGTTCTTTCGCGTCGTTTCGCTCTGCCGAAGACAAAAATCACAAAGAACGAGAGTTTTGTTCCTCTATTGCTCGAAAGAAGAAGCACGCAACAAGATCACTTTTTACTCGACCATAAAGGTCATTGACGTCTAACCTGAATGAATTTATTTAACTACCGTCAGATTTATTTCCTTCTTTTTTTTCTTCGATCGTGCCTTTGAGAAACACTGATCCAGCGATCGTGACAACTGACTTAAAACAGCGTGACGTTAAACTTTTAATATTGCACAACATCGATAACACTTCGATTTTATTTTTGTCGGAAAAAAGTTTTCTTATGCGACGTATGATAAATTGCAACAGATAAACTTATTTCAATGTCTCTTCTTGTTCGTTTTTCCCTTTTTCCCTTCTCTATTTCATCTTCGTAATGACTGAACGTTGATGACAGTAGCAGTAGTTGTAGTGTTCCAATATGCCAGCTTATAACTCAGAACGATTTTCGTTCTCGTGACAAATCAATCCATTAAGTTTCGTTCGAGAATTTTTAACGGACAACATCAGAACAACATTCCAACTCAACTCACGTCAATTTTTAAGTCCTAAGATTTCAAGAAGTAAAATTCTTGAGGATAGATTTTTCTTTTCCCTTTCCATGAGAACTAAAAAAACTTTAAAAAGAAATGAACAGTACCCGTTACTGACAATAAACTTTGAATCTTAAGTTCTACAACATAGTTAATACAATAATATAAATTATTATTAAAAGATAAAAGAAATTCTTATATCTCTGTAATTGCATAAACATCTGTGGTCTACCAATAATATTTATAATCGTAAAACTCATGTTGGAACGTTGTTCTTAGGAGACGTGATAATCCATAAAATACCAACTATACGAAACTAGCATTGGAACGATTCAAAATATAAGGTAAGGCCAAGAACGTTTTTCCATCATATAAATGTTTTTCACCGTAACAGTAAATGGAAAAATATGCGAGTATCAATAATAATAATAATAATAATGCCATCGTCGTAGTCATCACCGTTGTCGCCGTCATCGACAACATATATGTATATATATATATATACATATATATATAATATATGTATATATATATATGTATATAATAAGTTATATATTCTAAACATTATTATAATATTATACTTAGCAAATATTTTGTTTGAAGATTTTTTTACCTAAAATCCACATGGCAACAAATAACCAAGTTCCTTAATTACTTTCATTGTTCTGGCGGTTGAACTCTCGTACAAAGTCCAGGAAGGGTAGAAACTAAAATATCAATCTTCAAAAATACTTAATAAATTAAAGTCTATTTTCTTTCGAATGTTTCACCTTTTACTAGCAATTCAATTTCATACGCTAAAAACGTCATACTTGAGAATTAAAAATCCTAAAATAACACGATTCCAAATAACTATAACGTACAAGGAGAGCAGAGAATTAACAAGTTTTAAATTAATTAGGAGCGTTGATTGACAGCAATATATAATTAATATAATAATATTCTATGTTATATCTCGAAGCAATCACAATGGAAAACACGAAATATCCCTAATTGTTCATCATGTTAATCGACGACTTCGTGGAAGAGGTTCGCCGCCATTTTGAAGATCGCTTAAACTAAATCCTAACTCTCTATTCGGTGTCATCTAAATGAATGAAAAGAACGACAAACGATACGAGATATACGACAGGACAATGGAAACAAATTACTATACAATGTACGAATACATATCAATAATACAAGTCGTATGATTTCTTTTTTGCTGCGCCGTGCGGACCAACGCAAGATGGATGACATGATTTCGATGAACATATTCTCTCTCTCTTTCTCTCTGTTTCTCTTTCTCTCTTTCTCTCTCTCTCTCCCTCTCTTTCTTTCTTTCTCTCCTTCACATCAGGAACAATGTGATTGAAAACATGACAAACAAATAACAAATATATCGTAAATATACAACATGAAGACACGAACGTTATATGAATGATTAATATATCGAGTGATACGAATACTTAAAACTGAAAACTCGATTCCGAGCAGATCGACCATCACTTAATAAACAATATCATTTAATTGTATATCTACTGAATGAGCGTATGCTGATCGAATGAATGGGAAAATACTTGAGGCATAAAGTATTTTGAAAAACTTCAATGCAGTCTTGGCGCTCTGACATCTTTGTGCAATAAAACTTTAGTGAGAAACTAACGGATATTCGATTGATGACACATGAGACAATGTTAGAAAATGATAAAAGAATCCCCTTAACAGTGGACTGCCATCGAAGATGTGATGTGTGTGTACATGTATATCTTGTGTATGTGTATACGTGTATTCGTACTTAATGTATTCATACTTAATAGTGTAAGTCATATATATAACACATGACTTATACATATATATATATATATGTATACTTATATATATATATATATATATATATATGTATCTGCACGCGCGAAGGTCCTTACGTCGATAAAAGACACTATAACATTATATATGTACATTAACATGCGTATAGAACTATTCCTGGGGACAAGAGGAAAGAAATAAACAAGTGAATAGAATAGAACTCGAGAATCCATCCGTTTCGAACAAGCGAGAACCATAACGTAATAAGTGATTTTAATAGAGAAGAGAGTAGTCTTGAAAGAGAGATTTTTAGGCTAATCGGAGCATAAGATAATTCTCGTGATAAACGCTGATGAACGAATGCAGGGTCTTTGGTTTCGAAACGCATCGCGTTCTCTTAAGGTAATGGCACTACAACTTGAACATAAGTTACTGGAAAGTAACCCGTGCGACCGTTCAGGCTACCTTCGTACCAGTTTTCGTCGATCTTCTTGGTCAAAGTGATGGTATCGTTCTCCTGAAATACATACATAATTGTTATTTGCATAAATTATACTTTAAAATAAAAACAAGTCCTATTTATTAAACGAAAGGCAGATTTCTATTTTATAAACGTTTTCTATATATTTCTTATAAAATTGAACAGGAAAAAAGAACCGATAAATGAAAAACTGTGTTATATTTACTTTAAAACTGAGTTCTCCAGGATTCTCTGCCTCAAAATCGTATAAAGCTGTGCAGCAAGGCTGTCTTGTCATCGGAGTCCTAGCTGGTGATTTACTTGGAGATGGTAGGGGGGAAGCTGGAAAGCATCAAGAGTCTTAGAATTGTGTCAAATATGAACAATGCGACAAAACATTAGGCTTACGGTAACAATAGCCTTAACACTACAGTATCTAAACAGCAGCTTAAAAATTTGAATTTTATCTTCATAACAAAATATAATGAAAATTAAATATATATCTATAGATATAATTACGCTGAATCGCATTAATATTTAAATAACTTAATAACATCTAAAACTTGTATATGCACTAAAAAATAAATTTAAAAAAATATATATTTTCTTATTTGCAAAAATGATCTTGACGTTTAAATCTTATTGTGAAACGTTATATCTTATAAAATTAAAGAAAATAAAGTATTCTACGATAGGTCACACAAAAAGAAATATACAATCATTATATAAGCATGCATGTTCGTTAAGTGGCTAAATTAAAATACATTGATAGAAGTTACACAAAAGGCAAAACAGTAATTACTTTCTTGCCCTGTTTGCGGTGCACGAAAAGCAATAGAATTGAAATTGAATAATTAATCAATCGATCGAAACCTACAGTAGGAGAAATCAACCCCATGCAAAATTTACCATTGGCAGATTGTGGCGGGTTTCCGGCTGGAAATAGCTCGAGCTGCGAGCGCTTCCCATCCGCATGAATTGGAGACCCGGCTCGACTTGCCCCTACATTGTGTCAGAAGGACAGACATTCAAGTATACGAGAGTATACACACAAAACAGTCAGATGTAACAGTGTAATATATGTGGTAGAAACAATTTTCATGAGTCACAATCCAAACGTATAATTATCTCCCAAAGTATTGAAAATACAAAAAAGTTATATAGTTATTGAACAAATAAAATAAAATGCATTTAAGGTAATGGCTTGCCTTTATTTAAGGTAATGTATTCTAAAATAAGATAACCTTTTTGTATTTGAAAAAACGGAAACACTGAACCCAGAACTATTATACAATATTAATCATCAAATGCGAAATTTTAAGAAAATTTCTGTTATTAAATTTGTTAGTTTTATTATGATCTTGGAGAATTAATGATAAGATAAAATAGATCAATCGCCATCACAGTATATTCCTTTGAATGCAAAAAATAACAAAAATTTAATTTGTCCATATGACAGCTAGAGTAATAACGAAGGAAATTAAATCAGGAAAGAGTACGACAACATAGTATTAGTTGCAGGACACGTAGAGTTGCATGACAGAGGAAAACAAGAAACAAACAGTCAATCCACCCACAAGAATCATTATCTTTATGTGTATGTGTAAATGTGTTTTACCATGGAGAGAGAAGTTCCCACCGTTCATAGCATCCGATGTAGGTAATGCATCGACGTGTAAATCGGCCAATGTCTTCGGCACGAATTCCATTTTTGGTTTGTTTGCCGCTTCGTCTTTCCTGTAATTGAAGATAAAAATATTAAGATAAAGATAAAAAGATAAAAATTGCAAAATCATGCAATTTATTAGTTAAAATTTATATCCTACACTATTTTCTTGTACATACTTCTCCAAAAGTGTTTCCGTTAGTGTTCTTAAAATCTCAGTACATTGTTGATGATACTCCAGAAGACCTTCACTGAATGTCGCTAACTGTGCCACTTGTTCTACCTAAAAATAAAGCAAAGGCATTAATAAAATATTCTCACGTTATGTGCACGTACAATTGAAAAGAGTTGCTTTTATTATTTTTAGCTCAATCTATGTATGAAGTTAGAATTTGATACCTTTTTCTATAAAGATTTGTTAAAGTGAAAAATGATACATATCCAATTAATTTTTTACTCACATCATTCTCCAAAAGATTGAACATGCCCAATTGTGCCAAATGAAGACTCTCTGCAAATTTCTCCTCAGCCTGACGAATCTCGTCGTCTGAAACGTGAGAACCTGTTCGCAAAGTTTGCGCCGGCGAAGATATTAAAAATTGCACTACTGGGTTGCTTCAATGCCTAAGTTTGATATATAATATAATATAGAAACAATAGAGAAAGCTAAGAAAAGCTAGCAAAATTAAACCGTTTAAGAAATTTAGTCGTATACATTCCTTCTTCCTCTAAACGCAAGCATTTGTAATAAAAATATTAAAGTTCCATTAGAAAAATAGATATAACGCATTCAACATTCGCAGTATTTCGATGCATTTGTGAATACCTGTTGTGATTAATATTTTTAATATTATTATCTGAAATAATGGACAATTACTACGGTATAATCTACGTACTTATTTATTTTAAAAGAACATATACAATCTAAGTAATGTTTATGAATCTAAGCAACGCTTATAAATTTAAAATGAAATAATTGAACTGTTGAGCTATAAGCTATGATTTTTCCAGAAATTTCTATAAAAAGCAACAAAATTTAAAAAATCAAAAACAAAATAAGGAGTTCAATAACTATTGCACACGAGGAGATCACGTACCAGTGTACGGCGAGGAAGATTTGGCTGGACTTCCAAAATGAGGACTGGCTGATCTTTTTCCAGTTGCTAATTATTAAGAACGCAGACGAACAAATGAAAATAAAATATTTTTGCACTAAACTAAAACAGTTAACAATTGCAAATAAATATTGAACTCTATACGTATTAAGATCATCCGTGATGAAGAAAATTGTGATAGAAATTCTACTAAATTTAATGTACAGGATATTTCATCTTATGTTATAAATCCTTAAATAGCAGTCCAAATTTTAATTTGAATTTTGATTTGAAACACTCTGGTAATTTGATAAAATATCCTATCAAACAAATAGAAAGTCCTTATAATGATAACATTGACCAACTATAATTTATCTAGAACAAAGTGCACATGCAGCAGAACGTGCGAATGGAATGCCTGTGAAACAAGACAAAAAGTTGAAAATGAAGGAAAAACACGCGCATGATAGACGTATCTTTTTCAATCTTAGATTTCATTTTTAGATTTTAGTACACACGACTTTTAGCGGCTCATAAAAGTATCGAATAGTCGTAAAAATGTTTCATGCGTACATCTCACGAGCTATCGTGTGTATAATTGTAAACAACACGCATTGAGATTTCGTGCTGGTTACAAGGACGCAACATATACGCTTCCAACGTGTTGTGCTTAAATAAATCAATAAACGTCGCGGAGAGTGATAAAGCCAACTTGCGGCCAAGTATACCTTTCGCTTGACGTCTTCGCTTGCAATCGAAGTCCAGCCTTCGTCCCTGAAGTTTTTTCCGGTGATGCTGGAAACAAAAGAGTATATCAATTCCCATTCACGAATACACACGCGCCACCTCTCTATCTCTCTTTTCTTCTTTCTATTTCGTCGTATATTCTTTAAACTGGGACAGTCGCTGGCTACTCGACGAGCCAGAAAGAAAAACCAACTTTTTTAATAACCAACCTACCATCACTTCTTTCAGGTCTTTGGTCTGCAAATGGTGCAGAGGCTCCAGGAAGTTTTGTTTAATGTTGTCGTCCAGAGAATATTTCACGTCTGCCATTTGTTTCATCGCCTCACCCATTTCAACCAGGGCCTGAGCTGCGAACACAGGAATTTAAAAAGATTAATGAGCCGAATCTTTGCTCGCGCTTAGATGCATATTCATGCATCTACTTTACTAGTTTCTTCGTTAAGTGTGCAGTTACGAAAGTTATGAACTGAGGAGGCAAACGTTCTCTGGAAGTTAGAGTATCGGTAAACAAAGTTTTTAGCGATAGAAAGTGAAGTAAGTTTGTTTAAATAATAATTAGCAGAAGCGAATCACATTTACCAACGTGTAAAATTGTCCGAGTACTTAAAACATTTGAATTAAACGTACGAAAGTCTTTTATGTTCGTCTTCTTTAATAGGATAACACGCAGGTATTATTTTAGAGAATTAATTCGAAGTAGTTCAACATGTAAATTGAATTAACGTACTGAAAATACAATAAGAGCTTGGACATTAGCACCGCAAATAACGGCTCGAGAGTTCATGACATCTGGATAAATTAAAACAACGTTACTTCAAAATCTCATTCTCGTTCAATGAAATAAAACGAGAAACGTAACTAAACTAAATGATTTCAATTCCTAAAGTAACGTACAGAAAAATGCAAATACTAATTCGAGCACCTCATCAATCTAATTCTTTCATAATTAGTTCAGATATAGTCTAAAGTACAATTTTATGAATTGAACAAACGTACCAAAAATGCTATCCTCTCCCAATTTCTTTCCATAAGTAAGCATGCAATCGCCCAGAACACCTTCCGGTTGAGGATAAGTCGAGGCTTTCGCCTGACCGCTGAGCTTACTGATGCCCTTGACCGCGGCCATCTTCGCTCTCGCCGTTGGATTTGGCTGAAGAAACTCTTTCGTTTTCATTTGCAACTCCTCCACCAGCTCGTACGTGACATCCGTTTTCTACAATCAAAGTTGTATCACCGTGTATACACCGGTTTACACTATTATACATTATTGGATCTCCGCCTTTATTTCCTTGTTTCCTAAATCGCGGGTATTTCTCACTGTTCTTCGAGTAACAGGGATTGCATTTACTTGAGGCGAAAGAGACGCGAGAAAATTTCATCAAGAAAGTTTCATTGGCGAGAAGATCGATTGAAGGTTAAAGGCGACGCAACAGAAACACCTTGCAGAAACCTTTAAAATGTAGAAACGCGTACTCACCCTCTCCATATCCATAAAGTCGACGTCGAGTTTGGTTCCTTCCGCTCCACCCATCTTCTCTGTCATATACTGAAAATACACAAGTTTCATTAGAGGCAGATGACAATATTAAAATTACATAATTAAACTTGAGTTGGACTTGCACAACTCAAAAGTGAAATGTCATAACAAATAAACTGACAAACTTTTATTATCTTCTCAACTGTAATAGTCACATCTCATAAGAAGAAAGTATTGAAGAATTTTTCTAATATTTTCTACCATTTTAATCCCGGTATAAGTATAACTTCTGGTTTAATTTTCACGCTTTCTTTCATATTCTCTTCACTAATTACGTTTTAAGAAATTAGTTTAAATAAACGGACCGAATAAGTTGGTTAAACGAATTTCTAAAGCAATAACAAGTTTCAAACGATAATTACGATCTTAATGACATTTAAAATCATAATCCATCGCAAACTATATTCAAAACCTCAATAATATGCTTTAGGATCTGTTAAACTTGATTTAACTCCCAAACTGTAATTTGTTTAAAATTTTTTAATATTATTCACAGAAGCTTTATCATTTTTGATGTAATGAGAGCTTATCTCTACTAATCAGAAACATTTCTCGTGTTTAACTATTTATATTTATAATTGTACGGACTAAACTGTCATTAATAAAATGTTATTACGCACCGTAAAATTAATCAATGATTGAAAATAAATATTTCTTAGAATCCGTAACTTTAACTTTATTGCTGAATGTTGAATTCAAAGTATCAGGTATTCTTGTTTAAAATTGATCACTGGCGGTGATAATTACACGAATAAAAATGGTTGAACATCAGTCGAGAGTTCCTTCATGTTGGTTGCCAAGATTTCAGAGGTATACATCACTTTAGATCAATTGACTACGGATATTATTGATCCGGAGAGGCTATCTTTTCTGGCATTGGCATTTTCTCCCCTTTTCAAACGTCTTACCGCGCTATATCCTTTGCCCTCTGACCCACCAATATTTCTCAGCCATAGGAAATCTCGTTCCGTCTTTCGAAATTATCTCGGTTTACGAGCAATTAATTAACATTGACCAATCGACTATCAGTACACGTCTGTACGTATGTTCGAGATTTTTACGATGTTCTCTTTTCCCGACGGAACAGTTTCCGGTTTATCCGTGATATCCGGTCTACAAACGAGCGGATATCTCTGGCACGGTCACTTCTTTTAAATGTATCTGTTTAAAAATTGATCATTTTATAAATTAGTTTCATTTCGAGTAAAAAAAAAAAAGAATCTTCAACGCTGTATCGTAGCGGAAACCTGTTCTTTTATTTAACGTAGTAAACTATTCTCTCAATAAAGCTCTGTCATTCCTTGTCCTGCCTCTATTACTTTTCATATATGAATAAAGAATATATATTACGGCGGATTAATTCCTTTCATTCAGGAACAGACGTACACGAGTAATTTCAACGAGACATTGCCCAGGAATGTATGAATGAGAATCGCAAACATTACTACGTATTCCTTTCGCAATTGTGCGAGCGCAATATCGTACGTCTTTTTTTTTTCAAGGGAGATGAATTATCCATAATGCCGGCGAAATGAAAGTAATTCATCCTGCATAATAACAACGGAATTTCGCATCGCGAAATCTTCTCGTTCTTAGTCACTTATCACCCAACATTATCTTCATTTGCTTTTTCCAATAAACTCGAGAATGTTAAATAATTGAGAGTGTTACACGTTACACATGTACTTTGATTTCCTGCTATTTGTGTTCTTATAATACTTTGTACGCCCATAAAAATGAATGATGTCATTCATTAGTTATCAATATCACCATATTTATGTTAAAATTGACACCGCTGACTGAAAATTTAATTTATCTTCAATATCATTGTCATGCTAAACGTTCGCAATTAAAAAATAAATTCGAAATCGTCCTCCGGCGGCGAGTGGTTGATAGTTGAATTAAAGGTAACAAACGGGAGGTAACAATGTGTCGATATCGGTTGAAAAGCGTAAAACTCAAGCAACACGATTGTTTGACGAAAGGTCCCGTACGACCGTGACCTATATTTAACAGTGACCCACTTGTAGAGCGGCACCACACGCAGAAATACTACATAGGTAGCGTACCGTTACCGATTATACGTCGTCCTAGAGTAAATCTGACCCACATCCCGTGGGTAGTTGCAATGTCACGTGCCGTTTGATTCAAATTTATGCGGTTTGATTGTGTCATCATGTTTCCGACGTTACACGTGCCGATGAAATACTCCCGCGAATGGTGAACCATGAAAATTCCCGTTTTCAAGCATCATACTTGCAGACATCTTCCATGGATCGTCTTCTATGCTTGGACGTGTCTTACAGGAGATACACATTTTGAAATTTCATTATAACTGTTACGAGACCATCACGAGTATATTAGCAAAGTTCGAAACAAGTCTAAACTCATATACCCTAGCTGTGAGAAATTACAAGTATTACTAAGAGTCGATATTCGTAGGTGTACCGTGTAGGTACGATCAAGGAAAACATGTTACATAAATGTTAAATGTAAATAAATCTAAATAAATTCATTAGAATATTCCCATTAGATTATAATCACAAATTTTTTGCAATGAAATTTTCAGTATGACTACGTAGATATATCATTGAAAGTTATGTTTAATCTTGTCCAAACGCGTATCCATAGAAAAAGAAATAGTTTCTGCAATACTTTTGATAAGATAAAATTACGTTATGTTTACACTGCATATTTGCCCATGTACCAAAATGTAGTTTGCTACATACAATTTTGAAACATATAGCGTATATAAATTTTTTCTACAATGATTTTACTCGTATTTTTAAAACTAAAACAGAAAATTCTAAATTACGAAATTGGCTGATTCTTAAATGATATTTATATTTATAGTTATAATACCTTTCAAGAAAGCGAGCAATTTGATATATTTCACTATCTTTGCTGAGATAACTCTTGCATTTTATTTACACTAGAGTTTTGCCATTTTATCAGAGTCACTTTTCACGTATAATTTTATAATTTACAATTGAGGAAAAATATAAATTATAAAGTGACTTCGTTTTAACAGTTTTTAAATATTAAACGGACGCATGCAACGTGAAGTGTTTGTCTCGTTTAATCCCGCTCGCCTTAATCGATCCTCGTCGGTATATTGCAATATTTTGTTTTGTGCGCTTCCCATTTTGAAAACTGCGATGCGAGTTTTCCCCAAGTTCGTGTAAACTTCTTACGAACATGAATTGCGCCATGTTGAGAAAATAACAAACATTGGAACAATAGTGGGAGAAAGCAAGTGTAAATGTTATGCAAACGGGCACTTGGAAACATTTCTGAACCAACGTTATTGGCTGAAATTGAAATTTTACAAGTCACAATCCACCAATTTTTCGATTACGTAACAGACAACAAACTGAATTAAACTGCACGGGTAAGTACAAGCTTTACAAATTACAAATCAGTCGATTATTTTATTTAACGCAAAATTGTAAACTACATCTTCACAACTTGCGCTAATGTTATTCATAACAAGTTATTCTCTTGCACGATTCTTACGCAGTTTCTCAGAAACGAGAAATGTAAAGGGACAATAGCAAACGAAAGCTACATTCCAATCTGCTTAATGTCACAATCCCGCTGATTGAACAATTTACGAGAGGGGACCAAGTAGCTCTTAAAATATTAATCTCCTTTCCTGAATAAACAATTTTTTAATTATCACCGACACTCCAAGTTATTTTCAGGTTGAAGAAAAACCGGCTTACGATTTCGCCAGTTTTCATCTGTATAATTCCTCTAATTCCTCTAATTCCTCTATAATTCCAGAATCCAATTAGTAAAAAGTTTTAAATCAAGCATTCGATTGTTAATCGGTGAAGTTTCAACACGAATGAAACTTTGCAAGTTTTCTCTCCATCTAGGATCAGACAATAAAACGAAAGAACGAATAACTTTGTTCATTTTTCTTTTTCTTTTTTTTTCCACTTAAAAAAGACGTGCTGCTACAAACTTCCATCCTCGAAGACTCCAAAGGGGTAAAAATAAATCTACGCTCTCACAATCGGCGAATATAAATTTTCACGAATCGGTTATTGTCCTTCTACGATTGGAATGAAAGTCGCTGATATCGACTTTGGTATCACTTGCCGGATTCGTTTGAAAAGCCGGCAAACTTGAATTAATCTCGTTCCCGTATAAAATACACGGGAGAGACTTCTCTCCCGGATATTTGCATTGCTTTATGGAGGAATGTTCGTCGGTCAATAAGTTCTCTCTTACTCCCGATATATATAACAGACTAACAACGTTCATTTATTTCGCGATATGATCAATTTTTCGATGAATATTTGCCTTGCAATTAAGAAAGACTGAATCGTTTGACACAGAAAGTTGAGTGTTCTATTAGTGACTACAATTGAGAATACAACGACGCAGGATGAGGAAGTACGTGCAGTAGAATTTCATTTGTCAGGAATCATCGAAAGACAAAGAGTTCATGTAACACTGGTGTTCCTATACAATTCATTTACGTCATGATTTTTTTGTTAAATTTGCAGCACCTTCTTTGAAATTGAATTGAAGAAACTGAAATAATTGTCAGTCAATTTTGTGCAAAATACATTCGAGGTTTAATTAGAAAATGAATGATTCACAATGAATTTCGTACGAAGCGTGTTTAAAAATTGCAATAAACAATATGCCCGAATTTCAATAAATTAGAATTTGATTTTCAAATCATAATTGATCGTAAGGCTTTATTTCATACTTTCTCTTAATTTTTGCATGATTATATCGGAATATCATTTATCAAAAATATCACTCGTCGCAGAACACTCTGCACTTCGGTCACATATTTTAATACGTTTCTCTTCCAAGCTTGAAAAACTGTGTACGAGACAGAACACATTTCTCATCTCAATTTAATAAGTGTCAGCCTAAATAAGAATTAATTGTTCCACTCAAGGCACATTGAGGCGAACGAGACCCCTGTTTCTCAGGTCAAAAACACTGGTGCTAATGGTTAAAACGTCGATCGATACAAAATCAGAATTACTCGTAGTTAAAAGTGGTTTAGAGAATAGTAACAAATTCAGTTTGGTTTCACTTTGTCATTTTTCTTCTACTTATGTAAATATATAGTTGCTATAACATTTACTGTATTTAGATCATACAGCAATTAATTTCATTTCGTGTAACAAAATTATTCGAAACAATCAGTGACTAAGAATGTCAAGAATTAAATCTGACGATGTGCGTTGGAAAAAAAATGAAAATGATAATCTTGAAGAAAGATGGATCAAACTCGAGTGGAACGTAATGGCATAAAACGCGGAGAAATCGATATTCACGAGTAAATTATCTCAGATATTTATTCATTATTAATATCTCTCGATGAAGAGAGAATCTCTTCGCAAATATAAGTGAAATATCATTGTAAACGAAATGGTAGAAAGAAAGTAGATAAGGTGGGAGTTTATACGAAAAGAATAAATATAAATTACCATCGAAACCAGGTAAATTGAGTTGCACGAGAAGAACAAATATTACGTTTCGATCCGCGTTGAGAATTGCACATATTTAATCTATCGGATCATTCAGATCCGTCTATCCCGACAGAAAACTGATTTAAAAAGAAAAAAAAAGAAAAATTAAAGTTGAAAAACTAACAATTGCTTCAAACATAGATGATATTAAAAAATATTAGTAATCGAAACAAGTCAGAAAGAAGTGAAAAATTAATTAACATATTTCTATGTAAAAATATGCTGATAATATTCTTGCCAAATGTTGTTGTTTTTTTTTTTATTATTATTGAGCTTACTATTTTATAAAATATTTCGTTGATCACCTGAGCATGGTATCTATGAAACCACAAAATTGTTTCACGATAAAACTATGTATAACAGTAAAACTAATTATCGACAAGGACGATACGGTAAGCAGTTTAAGGTACCGGTTTAAAATGAACCATTAAAAGAACGATGCTACGAGTTGCATTGCAAGGCTGATTTATCGTATTGTTTGTTATGTTGTTCGTATCATTTCTGGGGTAAAGTGCTCGTTTCTATTAAATTATGAGAATAAATGAATCTGACGTTACGAACTCACGAATAAATTCTAATTGATCGTGAATAATATTTCCGTTCCGTGAGAGAGTACTTGCTTTCTCTCAGAACGAAGAGATTTGGGAAACAAAGATGAACAATTCGTCCGAGTAAAAATAAATTGTTAATGGTACTTTGCAAATATTATTTAAAATTGAAGTGCAGCTGCATTTGAAACCTCGCTAGTGCATTTTAAAATCTATCCGTGCCGGCGGTTACCGCATTACGATCAATTTACACCTCGTTCGATAATTATATAAGATGAAACTCTGTTGCACCGTATGCGGAATAATCATTATCACCCGCGAACGATGCGTGCATTTCGGCAAGTATTCGCCGCTCAAGCTTGTCACATCATTTTCGACAATTGCAAATTGTGTCACTTGCAGTTGCAAAGATCACTTAATGAGATGTTCAACTTCAATGATTCACAGTTTAACTGAAAATCGTTTGGTTAGTTAAAAAAGTATCCGGTATATATATTTTATTGAAGATTCGAAGAAAAGAGGGAGATTGGACAAAATTTAATTTAAGCTCGATTCGTTCTACTTGTCTCTTCGACGTTTACGACACTCGAGGATGTGCAAGTACTCTCCGTAATGATTCGTCGAAATGCAATTGAAATACAATTGAAATCGTATTCTGACCCGGTAAAAGTCAGCGCTACAAAGGAAACTACAAAGGGAAAACGATTATTCCTCGGTGGCTTGAGGCAAGCTCGAAAAAACTCCGTGAATCTCGGTCAGTTAACCATGCGTAGGCGAGGATAACGTGGCTTCGCATCTCGTACTCGTAGTATACCGTGATTACATTACAAAAGACACTGAAAACCGACTTACAAGGAGCACACCATTCAACTAATTTTTTGACACTGCTCGAGAGAGTGAAGCTCACGAAGATATTTCAAGAAAATATATATTCCGTATAATACAAGTCTACTTCTTGACGACATGCAAGTTCTTCGCATAATTTCTTTTTTTTTTTTTCTTAACTCAGTACAGTGCATTGTATATAATATCTGAATCAGTTATCTCTGATATTTATTTTCTAGATTTCTTTTTTAATGAATTTTTCGATTCATATTAAAAAAATCCAAAAGTTTCTCAATATTTCATAATAGCGTTGTTCGTCGGCTTGAAAATCCATCGAAAAAGGCTGGCAGAGAAGCAAATTAACGCGATTCCTGCTGGAAGTTGGAGATTTCCGCCGGAGGGAAAGCTTAAAACCGGGTCAAAAAGTTGCATCGAGATATTCAATCGTAGGAAAAAGCAACGATCGTGCCACATTCTTGGCAGTTTCATCTTCCCTCCCACTCCCTACCCTTTATATTTCCAAATAAACCAGCCGGCCGATATCATTCATTTCAGAATTTCAGGCACTATTAGGAAAAAAAACTTTTACTCAAACGAAATCTCCATCTTGTTATTTGCTTTGATTTATCGTTACGCTGAATTGTTAATACTTTCGACTATTTACACTTTGCGGCAATTCGTTTATTACAAACAGAAAGATTTTCTGTAGAATTTGAATTATAATGTATTAAATTTCGCGTTTCGTGTTTACGTTCAATTTTCTGTCCCGTAATACTTCACCGCGATATTAAATTAAGTACTCTTGCTCGTTTCATGAAAATTACGCTTTTAATAAGTTTCGCGTTGACAAAAGGTCACCGATGACGAGGCGACGCGGAACGAAATAAAAATTTCAACAGTCGAACACCGATCGCGACAGCAACGGGATGTAAAATGTCATGAGAAGAAAAATTGATTGAAAAAAGAAAAAAAGATAAAAAGATAAAATTCATGTCAAATTTCAATTTCGAGAAGAAAAGAAACGCTTCGAAACAATGGTAAAATGTCTACAAATTCCATTGAAAATCAATAACAACAAAGAACCGAAATAATAATGTCAAGTACTCACCTGATTTGCTTTGTTAATCTGTTTCTTCAACCCTGCGAACGCCATGGTGATGATGATACTTCTAGCCTCCCTCTAGACAGAAATCAGCAGAAAATCTGCAAGCAGAAAAAACAGAGGGGGAGGGGGGGAGTTAATCGATGTACGCGTGTGTCGGGAAACGATCGGAACAAATTTTCGAAAAACAAAGAGAGAAAGGGTTTGAATTTATGACTGGCCGGTTGGCTGCTCGCCAGATCCGGCCATCCACGGACGGATGATTTTCAATGTTATCGATCGACCATGTTTTCCAGCATCCTGACTTACTTCTGATGTAATAAACGCTGTCGCACACGTACAACGCTAATCCTTCCCGATATCTCACACACGCGTGTACACGGTATCATCATCGGGCTTCTCATTGCCCGATGAAAAAATTACGTCAGATTTGAAATTATAAAGATACGTGTACGAAGATCGAGATTCAAAGTCATATAGCTTTTTTGGAAAGGAATTCCAAAAGAAGAGAGCGAAAAAATACCTTTGCTAACTTGAAACAAAATCAAATAATATTAACACATTTTCCAAGATACTACGATAAATTTAATGTATTTTTTATTGAGTTAATGCGTGGAAGATTAAATTCTTCACTGAAAAAATATACAAATAATATACTATTATTATTAAATAATAGTAATGAAAACTGTTTCGTTCACGTGTGTGATACGGATTTTATGATGTTTCGATTGATGTTTCAATTTTTCGATTGAACAGTTTAATATTAAATTAATAGAATCAGACAAAGTGAGTCTTTTGATGAATTTCTTGCCGATGTTTAGCAAATAAGTTTTGTAAGGAGTACGATAAATAATAACGAGGCTATTCGTCAAATGTGAAGAACAGAAATTTTCCCCAGTATACTTAAAGACTCTTCAAATCTAATCGATGAACACGCTACTCGAGCCCATCGCTAACCGTGACGCGTATTTTCATAGAAAATTACATCATACGTTTTACTTCTAGCGAGTTTCTTGCACACGTCTTTCCGTCACGGAGTAAAGGCTCCAAAAATAGAGTGTCACGTTCATAAAGAAGAATTAACGAGTACCGTCCCTCTTAATAAGCAGCACGCTTCCTCGAGGAGAACAGAACAAGTATCAGACGAATAAGGGCAAAGGTTGCACACCAGGCAAAAAAGGATTCACCTATGTACTTAATAACGACTGCTAACGTTCAACATCAAGAATAATACGAACGTACGTTATTGCATAGGGCCGAATTCTCTTCCAGTTGACCCGGTGGTGACATGACAGCGCTGGCCTCCCTTCTACGTCTTCATCTTTGTTCAATGTTACAAACATCAAATTCATTCTATCCTTCTTAATTAAAAATCCTTCCTTCATTTTTCAAGGTGTTTCTCAAGATAAACTCGAGTTGATGAAGATGCGAAATATTCTGTTTCACTCATTGCCGAGTAAAAATGTACGACGGATCAACTTTAAAGATACAAAGAAATAATTTCAAAAGTCTCGACCACCCCCGAGTAAAGTTAGAATCGAATGATCGCCAACGAGCCGAAAATTCACGAGGAAAGGATCAAGAAATCAAACCTCTGACGGATCTTCCAGGATCCGACAGAAAATTCGTCCCCTTTCCGCAAATACGAGACACACGGGCCAGGAGAACAGCGTGTCGAGTATAACAAATAGATCGAACTTTCGAGGGATTCTTAACAGATGTAGATGTAACGATAGAGCAGACGTCTCACCTTGTGCACCTGTCCTTACGACAACCTTACTAGACCGGTAGGGCCGACCGAGCCGCAGTACCGTGGATGCTCCACAGCCTGTGGGAATCGCGAGGAACGCGCAATATGAAAACTCCAAGGGCCTAGAGCGTAGAGATCCGCGTGGACCGCGAATACCACGAGCACCACCGACTCGTACGTGGTCGGTTTTGCACACTGCGCCTCCGCGACTCGAGGGGTAGTTTTCAGCGCGACGATCGATACCAGGCGACCAGGATCGTTCTGTCTCTCTCTGGCCAACGTGTACACCGTATATCAAGCTTGCCAACTCCCTCTATCCCCTACTCCCTTGCTTCTCCCCTTCGCGTTTATCGTTTGTTCTCGTTGCTCGTGCAGAGATTGCACTGGCCGTCTCTGTTCAACATCGTTGATCGTATCCCCACGTCGTATCCCCACCGTTCGATCTCATTCGCGATCCCTACCTTCCACTCTCGTCGTAATTGTACCCAAGCTCTCATACTCACTACACTTTCCCTTATTCTCCCTTTTCGTTCCTTCCACCTTCAGCCTGTTTTCCCTCCCTTCTTCTGTGGGTTTCCCTGAGCTTCCAGTAGGTCTCAAGTGCCCACGCTTTTTCTCGCTTTTCTTTTTTTCTTTTTCTCTTTTTCTTTTTTTTTTTTTTTCTTTTTCTTTCTTTTTGTGCAACTGTTTCCCACCGGCCTCTGCGTGCCAGATTCATCCGCCAGCCTACGCGCCGGCTAATTGCAACCCCCTTGCGAAATTAGCCACGCATTTTTGTCGTTTGGACAAGGACAAGGGGACAAGAATAAAAACGATGTTTGCGTGGAATTAATGAGAGGCTTGACCGTTCATAGAACAGACAAAGTAGAAAAATATCATTGGAAATCGTAGGTTTCAGAGTGCATAGGGCGATACTTCTGTCGAATTAATGGTTAGTGTAACACTGAGTGAGTTAGATTCAGTTTGATCGCAACTCTCTGTGAATTCACCCATGCGACATAAGATAAACCTTCTGTTCCTGGTGGTTGATTAATCAAACGTTACATAGGACATATTAAAATCATCGGGGATGAGTAGAAAAAAAAATTCATAAAAGATGTGTTCTATTTGACCTCGTTCTTCCACGTACAGACCATTTCTATATTTCAACAACTCTCGCCTTTTAAGTGTAGAAATTGCTAAAAATAACTTCGAACGCCGATAAAAGCTTCTAGACACTTTTTTTTATTAAATTTCTGACACAATCGAAAATTTTCTCGTTCTCATACACGGTCGTTACGTTCGAATGTTGACTAAAATTTAAAGCGTGCAAAGAAATTCAAAATTTGAGGAAAGAGACAAATGAATGCAAATCGAGTTACCATTACCTAAGTTCAATGCGAATTTCTTCGAACTTTAATTGGCTTCGAGAGTTATTCGTGACACACGCGACATGGTTCGTGTTTTAAAAAAATAGATTGCAATAGAAAGAAATTAATCTTGCCAAGTGATCAAATACAAAACTTCACTTAGAACAATTTCATCGAACGGAGAATACACGTGGCGTGCAACTTTTTGTCAGATTTCATTCTATTCCATATTGATCCGTTCGAATATCCGTCGAGATCTAATATTTTGCCAGGAATTTAATATATTTTCGGACATCTTCGTTTTCTTTTTGCCTCGACTATACAAGTTGACGTAAATCAATGTGAAACATTTGCTCTCTATGGGATATCTAGGAATACGATTCTAAAGAGCTTGTAAGAAGGAATTGTTGAGAACTTTTATTATCTGAGCAAGTTTCTTATGTGAAAATGGCACGTTGTAAGCTCAATGTTCATTTCGATACGAGAATCCGATACTTTTTATTACGTATCTTCCTCTGTTCTTTATTTCATTTAAATTAAATTTCAAACACGAATTCAAATAATTTTCTATCGAAATTTACCACGCAATTTCAGTACTACGAGTACTAAAAATTTTGAGAAAACATTATGAAAATTAATTTTCAAAAATTTTCTCATAGAAAAAATGTTAATTTGAATTAATTAATTTTTTCAATAACACAGATTAAATAAATGTACAATTAAATGAATAAAGTACATGTATATATACATGTATATTTTTAGTAATTAACACATGGCGCTGGTATCATCATATTATTAATTATGTGTATATATATATATATATATATATATATATGTATGTATATTGTACAAAAGTAATTGAGAAAATGAAATTCTAAAATTTTGAACCTCGAACGCTTGGTCAGCAAAGAATCATAAGAGAAATACGATTAGGTCATAGTACTGCTATCATTCGATAACATTCTGTCGCTTTGTACGCCCCCTATATGTCTGACATGAGTGTACATCCGCTATACAAACCACCCCCACATGGACTTCGTGAAAATACTTCTAAAAATATATATCAGTCCAGCAGGAGACAACATTAATCTTTGCCGAAGCTGAGTTCGTTTTTTCACGCAGATTTCCATTATGAACTCTTTCGTTAATTTTCATAAAATAAACGCGGGAAAGAGAATATTAATAACACAACGAATCGTGAAATATCTCTGAAAATGTTAATTCCTTGCTAGTTCTTTTACTTCTTTTTTGTTTATCACTTTCAGTTCAAAATAAAGGATAATTTATTCATATAAATTAAACGAATCCTTCAAGAAAACAAAATTGAGAAATACGTGATTTAAAAAACAAATATGCCTTCGTTAAATTAGAATAATCTATGCTAACAAAAATTATAATTATCTGTAACTGATCAAGAACTGTAGAATCTAAATATTCATATTATTTTTTACTAAGAATATATAGAAAATAATTCAATGACATTACGATGACTATTTTGTTACATTAAACTCTTTACTACTAATTATAATTTAAAAATAGAATATTAATGTTAAAAGGACGAAATAAATAATATCTGTTTTATTCATTAAAGACTCCAAAAATAAGAAGGATATATACATGTTCAGTAATCAAACGACAAAGATCGTTTAGGATCGTTTAAAATTCGATCAATCCTCACGTAGAATTGCACGTATGCCGATAATTATTAGGCCAGGCTACATGTACATATTTTGAATATATTGCACACTATGATCATCAACGAAAATGAAGTCATTCATAATTAATCTATTATTAGCAACTAGAAAACAAATCTGCATACGTATGTACATTGTGCATTATCACATTGTTCAATGTAAAAACTACATGTTATACATGTTTCATAGTTTACAAAAGAACATTCAATTCGCATACAACTTTTTTTTATATATTGTGCATATTATTTATACGTACATTGAAATTTAAAACAATAATAACAATCGTACTACGCGACCAATCGCAGATGTTATTGTGAGTAACCAAAAAAGAACATGGCGTCCACTCAACATTTGTTTTCACTTTGAACCTATTTTGTAAATACATAAATACGTAATATCATTGTATATACATTTGTTTAGCGAAAACACAAAACGGAATGAATAGGTTCAATGAATATATCAAAGAAATATGCCGACCAATCGAATATTACATACAGTACATCCATGTGTCGAGTGAAGATACCGATTTGAACATTCTCTCGCATAAAACGTATGAAGATTAATTATTTTAAGAAAAATAAAGGATATGATTTATTTTAGAGTACTCACCGTGCCTCAATTTAGTGAGAACAGAGAACTATTTGAAGCTAGAAATGGGCAAAAACCCCTGCTACCATTTGACACAGACGACAGCTGTTTGGAGTTTTCAGTAGCACCACCAGATTGCTCTTCCAACGGCAAAACTGGCAAAAGGCGGGAAAAATTATGAATTAGAAATACCTCTAATTGTTACATATAGATATCATAAAATTTAATTATTTGTTCAAATAAATGAAAAAAATTATTTTTTCAATTATTTTTTTAACATAGTTTCATTGCTATCAAAGTTGTAATTGTAGATTCTAAAATATAAATATATATTTACTAAAATTGTACTATTTTCCAGTAAATTTGAATAAACTAGTAAATGCCAACTCAAAATGAACTAATATTGGTAATAATAATTTGAATATAAAAATGATACCTTTCTTTTACTTTCATTAAATACAATTTATGGAACTGTTGAATACAATATTGGAACTGTCACCTCTTTACTTATTGCAAATCCTTCACTTTAAACGAACGGATAAGAAATAACTTTGAAATGACAGGTCTTTTATTATCAACATTATTAGTACAGTGAAACAGCTAGTATAATACAATAAAATAGTGCCGTTTTATAATAGAGCGCTGTAAAGCTTTCTTTACACGTAGTGTCGCGTTTAATATAATATCCTGTTTTCTTTCTCTTTTAATTAGACTTGCTCCTTTTTCATAAGGATATATAAAGTTTAAGTTCTTTGTCAACGTCTGGGTAAAGGGTTGACATCAATTGGTTAAACTGGTTGTCTCCAATCAATCTGCGTAAAATAAGTAACTAAAATAAAAAATACAGATTTTCAACATGTAATAAATATATAATTGAACAAAGTGGTTTTTAATATATAACAAGTAAGTAACATACTTGTAAGTAATAATAAATTATCACTTTACCTGATTTTGTAACGTATCTTTCAAAGATATACCACACAAAGGATCATTGAAATCAAGTCTTTTTTTTCGCTGTTCATGTTTGTTTCCATACTCTTCATCCTCGTACTGAGGTGGACTAGACTGTCCACTAATTGACAAGGATCTAAAATAAGTGAAAATTCTAACTTTTACAATAACATGATATTTTATTGTAATTAATAACTATATTTAAATAATAACTATATATATATATATATATATATATATATATAGATATTATACGAATAACTTTTACGCACTCAATAGCATATCCAATATTTTCGCATCTTATATCATCAAATTTGGTAATATCATTGAGAGTTCCAACAATATTAGATATTATTAGTGGGAAATAATGAAGAACACTCGGAGGACTATCAGCTCCAAGTAATGAACAAAGTGCAAGAGCTAATAATTTACGTCTTTTTAATTGAGAAATATATGGCATTCGATTAACCCATACACGTATTAATTCTCCCAAAACAACCTCTTCTCTAGCTTCGTTTCCACCTATTTTTCTGGTTAATTCGCTTAGTACCTAAATAATTATTTAAACATATGCTTATATCAATTGTATTAATAAATTGACAAATATATGAATACGATACATGAAATTTCAATACCTGTATAAAAATATCTTTATAAAACCACAAAATTCTTGCCACAATAGATAAATACATAGTCATTGTCATCATAACTTCTTCCTCCTTGTACATATTCCTGTCAAAATTGAAATAAACATTAACGTATATAATTTGCTAAAACTTTTGAAAGCATTTATACTCACTCAAATATAGTTATTAAAACAGGTTTAATAAGTTCTACACCTTGCCGAGGTGATGCGCATAAACATAGTTCAAACACTGTCATTGTCATTACTGCTCCTTCAGAGTTCAAATCTCCCAAAAGTGACCTAAGTGTTTCAATTATAATTGCTCCTCTTTGACTTAAAAATTCCTGGGGACTTAATATTATATATGCTTGAACTATAAACAAACATAATTTTAAATGTTCGAATGATTTTTCTGAAAAATACAAATATCATCAGATTTTTTTAATATAATTTATAAGAATCATTAACAAATAGTTTATTAATTTACTAACCTAATACGTCCGGCAAATTTTTAGCCAATTCCATTATAGCAGGGGTTGGCGCAAGTGCATTCTCCAGTAAAGCTAACCATAATCGCAAACCATCTTCTAACAAATATACGTGATAATTTTGATTAACATCACAACTTAATGCAATAGCACCTACTACTAATGGTTCTATAACGACACTTTCAGGACCTAAAGCCTAAAAAATAATCAAAATATAAAATCAAAAACATCTGTTATTTAGAGTCTTAAATAGAAATTAATTAAAGTCATATATTTATTCAAGTATTTAATTTATACCTTTTCCAGATGTACAAGTGTCGAAATTATGGCGCATCTTAACATATCATGTTCTTCAGACTCTTGCCAAAGTGCTGGTAGATATGAACTAAGAGCTCCAACATGAGGGTTTATTTCACTGCCAGTACGTTCAATCATAAATGATAATACATACAACACGTACATCTAAAAATAATTTTTAAACAATTTTTTTTCTGAATTAAAAAAGTATTTTTAAAATTTTATACCTTGGTATCACATTCTTTTACTTCTTTTAAGAGAGAAAATAATAAAGAGAATGCTGGTTCTAAATATGGCGAGAATTCTTCCGGATTAAATTGAAAATCATCTATCGCGAGTTTTAAAGCATCACTTGCTGCCAATCGAACACCCAAATCTTCTTCAGGGCTCAAAACTTCAACCATGAGTTTGTATAATTCTGGTCTCAGCTCTGCACTTAATTTAACAGCTGCAATTTAAGTTAATCATAACAAAAATAAAAATTATTACATAATAAATATTCCATTTGTTTGAAAAAATTAAATATGCTTACACGTCCAGCGTCCAATAAGCCAGCATACTCGTCTTCTAATAATTCTATAATTATTACTTCGAATTTTCAGTTCTTCTTTTAAAGTGGTCGAAAACCATTGATCAAAGTTCACCTAATTTAAATGTAATGTAATATAAATGTAATGTAATATAAATGTAATATAAAAGTGTAATATGCATGTAAAATAGTTTCTTTGTGATATTTTTTGCGTTCTTACCTCGTCATACAAATCAAATGCAGCTAAGCCAACTGCATTATATACTGCATCTTTTACTAAGATCAAATGCAAATTATTTGGATCAATTGGTTGATGATGTCTCTGCATTAATTCAACTAAAAATGGTACAAGAACTTCTACAAAATGATGAAGAATTACTGCAAACAGACACTCCGTACAAGACTAAAAATAAAATATTAATTATTAAAAATAACAAAGATTTATAATCTTACAACCATGAATTATTTATATATATTTGTAAATAGCTGAACGTAAAGTATTTACCCTTAAACTGCATTTCCATGATTCACCACCACCACCATCAACAACTGAAAATAATAATAAAAATAAAAAATATAAATGTATACATAAATATATATGTACACAAATATTTACCAAAACTTTCTGGATCTGTGTCCCATAACTCCAATTCAGCAGGTGTTAAAAGAAAATAATGCGTTACAAGTCTTGAACATATTTCAGTTAATGTTTCAGGTGTAAAAAATTCTTTTCTCAATTGATTTGCTCTCAATGCTAACAACGGGTCTTTCGTTTCTGCATGAATAAATTTCCAGCTTAATCAGTTACATCCACAAAGTGTATACAATAATTATCCAGCGCACATACCTTCCAGCATTTTTGCTGGTTTATAATATGTAGATGATAAAATGCCTTTCATTAAATTTAAACATTGTATAACGAATTTTTCAAAAGCTAACGCTTGGCCAGCTTCGGTAAAACAGTAAAAAACAGAAAATTCTAAAGACGTTGGTATTAGTTCTACATAGCAAAACGGATGCATTTCTAGTGCTCCTAATAATACTTTAGTCAAATGAATAATAAATTTATCGCATACATCCATCTGTATGCCTCTTGAAATTAACGTCTTTCCTACAATTGTACAAAAGATAAATCATTATTAAAATCATTATTAAAAGAAATAATTAATATTGCGATTAATAGCAAAGAAGAATAATACTAACGACATTCAAGACAGGTCCTTGCACGTTCGAAAACAATTTCTAAAAATGACATAGCATCATGAGATTCTGAAAGCTTATTAAATCCATTTACAATAAGTGTCCTAAGTATTCTCAATAAAAGTAATGCTTTTTCCAAAGCTTCCTGTATCTGATTT